GTGCCTGCTCCCTCGCTCCCGGGGCACTCAGGTTTGCCCTGGGCAGCGAGGGTAGGCGAGTGGCTCTGGTGTGCCTAGAAGGCGTCCAGGGCTGCAGTTGCACCTCTAAATATGTATGTGTATGTGTATGAATTGGGGATGGGAGAAACGTTACCCTGGGCCAGAAGACAGCACAGAGTTAGGCCCTGTGCAAGGGTTTGTCAGGTCTAGACCCTTTTTCTCTACCTTTGTGCTGGTTTTTGTTAGGCTGCTCACCAGTTGCTAGGGGTTGTTCTGTTTTGTTTTGTGTTTTGCTTCAATCGTTTTCACTGACGAGAGCATCTGCTGCCATCTGTGCCTCCACCTCCTCTCCCCGGCGGGGCTGCGCATCGTCGCGGTCTGCCCGCAGCCCCGGGCGCTCTTCGCCGTCCAACCTGCCGCACGTATCCCGCACAGGCCTGCCAGCGTCCGGGCACGGCAAGGAGTGAAGAGCCAGCTCCACCAGCACCCTGCTCTTCCCCCCGTATTTGTTGGTGACACGCTTCTGCAGCTGCGCTGCTCACAGGACTCCTGCAGTGCCAAGGTTCCAAGTAAGCCCAGGACCTGGTGGCACTAAGGAAGGGTGCACTTCCTCCTCTGAGAAGCCAACAACCGGCGAGGCATTGTTGGAGGGGAAAACACGGAGGTGAAGGGACTTGGTGAGGTCACCCAGGACATCAGTAGACGGCTGGGAAGAGAGGCCAGAGCTACTCCTTGCTGGCACCATGACTCTGCCTCCTGGCCCAAGGAGTGCCTGGGAAGCAGGGCTGCGATGCTGCAGCCCAGTGTCGGGTTTTGCTGGTGCAGAAGAACAGAGGCTGCCATTTGCATCTCTCTTGGACCGTTATTTTGGGTATCCTGGCTGAGGGCTGCTCCGGCCCTGACTCGCTGCGCTCTGCCTGCAAGCCAGGCAGCTCATCCCTGGCCGGGAACTGGCAGGTGCCGGCGCTGGGCTGGAAGGTCGTTACCTGAATTAGCTCCAGCTCGCCCGGTTTACTACCGTCAGCCCCTAGATGTAGGAAAGCTGTGGGGTCACGATTGCTGCTGGTAGCGAACTCAAACCAGCTCACCCCAGCTGGGATTCAACGGGCCGCTGCCTGCAAAATGGCCCCGCGGGCCT